CAGCAATCACCGATTGGTGCAAGACGCGTTCGTACCGATTTGAAAACATCAGAGAATATTTTTTTGACGGCTGCCAGACCGCCGCCCGCACCCCGTACTTCGTCACCAATCACAATAAAGCATGCCACATGTGGCAGTACACAACAGTACATACAGTATGCAACACAAAGTACTACCCCTCACACACCTTCGCGTGTGTCATACTCTCCGCGTGGCGTATATAAATCATACCTGCCTCACGCCACCCATCCGCATAAGCAACAAAGTTCAAGGCGAACTTCCCCAACTGTTGCTGTTGCAATGCCAAGAGCAATAACAGCAAACAAGTCGACGTCAACGTTACGTGCTGCATCGTGCAATTGTTGGTGTCACTGTGCAGCTGCAACGGTGTTGTCAACTAGTGCGCCGCACGCGAACGCCACATATCTGAGGTGCAAGCGAAGTGACAGAGAAGAAATATTAGAATTTGTAGAAGTAAAATATGTTTGTACGAAGTGCCTTTTTAGTTTGAGAATGAATATAGTAGAACTCCTTAAAATTAAGTCTTTATTTTTCTAGTTAACTAAATTTTACTCTGTTTCCTATAAACTAAACAGCTCTCTATTTCTTTTGCTCATTTTAGCGCTCATTTGCCTGCTCGTGCAACACGTCTACTTAACCGCTCGCGTCTACAACAACAACAGTACCCTGCTGCTAATGCCAGTGGTCTATCGGCGAATGCTGGTGCTGCTGGAACATCTGGCGGCGGCGCAGATTCTGATAGCTCCAAATCAACACATAGCCTGCGACGTAGTGCTGCCGCCTCGCGCGCATCAAACGCTTCCACGTCTTTGACGAATGCTTCACAACCGACCAGTAGTAATTTCCATCATCAAAAGCACTTTCAACATCATTACTCGCAACTTTATCGCGATTCGCACAGTTCATCGGACGACCTAATGCTGTATGATAAATCATTTCGCAATGCAATGATTCAGGACGTGCTGCAATTTAAGAAGCAGCTGTTGCGGCTACGACGCATTCTACAGGAGGTGGGTGTTTATGTTATTTGAAAGATGTCTACGTACTTATGTATATATATATATGGAAATACCTATTTATTTATATACATACATATATGAGTATGAATATGAATATGTACATACATATAGGGCAGGTCAACCGCGTTGTTTCCCAATGTGATTAATAAAAAATTACTTGTGAACAACTTAGAATGCAATATTCCTCACTTTAAGAGTTCGTGGTATCGCTTCTGCATTTTAAAAGAAGGAAAAACTTATAATAAACCTACATCTATATTGTCCATTAGTTATTTGAACGAAGGATGAACCGTGGAGACAATGGAAACTACAGTTTTAGATTTCCTCAGGAAGTAGCAAATCAGTATACACATTTGTATGGGAGATTTTTTCGACTATGTGCGTATAGCACAGAAGGATTCCACGTGCAATTCTAAGCAAATTTTCTGAAGAAACCAATAGTCTGAAATCAATTTGGAGCTGCCAAATTGTGAAAATAAGTTTCTTAGCATTTTGCTGTAGACTCTAAAAAAATTGCTAAAATTTGCGCATATTAAGAGAGGCATCCAGTTTCCTCCCTTAATAAATGCAATTTTGCACACCATGTTAATTCAATTAAACACTGCTTGTTTACTTTTACTTGCCATATGTGAGGCGTAGAACAAATTCCAAATTTGTTTGTTGAATTCTAAACACTCAACGTTCAAATTTTTACAATTTACACATAAAATGTTTAAAATTTATTTGATTTATTAAATTGCTCTAAAAAAATGTTGTTTAAATTTTTGCATAAAAAGAGAGGTAACCATTTTCCTCTCCTAATGTGTGCAAATTTACACAGCATGTGATAAAATTAAACACTGCCTTTTTAATTTGCATACCAGATTTGTAGCGTAGAGCAAAATTACACGCAAGGTGTTTAAAATTTAGTAAATATGATCAACTAAAGCTCATTAATGCTAAGTACAAAATGCATTTTTGTAATGTTCACAATTTCTTCAAAACCTATTTTCGCAATTTGGCAAAAATCCTGCTAAATATCCTATACGCGAATAGTCGAAAAAATTTACCCGCCCCAATACACTTACATATTTTTTTGGGTTGGCCTGACCTTTTGTTTCTACATTTATGATGGTAGCTTATCAGTATTATTTCATACCAAATGACTGCGATTTTTAAAATCGACCAATAACCAAGCCCACATCCCATAAAACGGTTATTTGGGGAAGTACGAAATCTTCGATAAATGAGTATAGTATACTGACGCTAATTTATTCAAAATTTATGTTTGTAATAACTATTTAGCAAAAAAAAAGTTAATAACAAATTTTTTTAAAACGGGCGTGGTACGGACTACATATCGGACTACATATCGCATACGATCTTCAAAAGTGATACAACTCAAAATTTGGCATTTGGCATAAGGTAAAGTCTTCCTTGCCCATATGATTAGCATGAGTTAAGAAATAGTTTTTAGCATTTTCTGACGAACGGGTAACTTTGAGTTATGTCTCTTTTGAAGACGGTGTTCGATATGTGTATCTCGGTAACCGTTCGATAAATTTTTATCAAACTCGGTATAATTATTGTACTTGCCACATAAAAGCAAAACCTTGAAAATTATTGAAATCGGACTAAAATTAAACCCACTTTTTATATAACGGTAAATTTAAGAAATGCTTGAAACTTAGATATTTCGAAATTTAAGTACACTAATTTGCTCACAACAATCCTTTAAAAACAAATAACATTATTACAGAATTTTAGAAAATGGGCGTGGTAACGCCCACTTGTACCTATATAAATTTATCTCATTAAATATAACTGAACATACTATCGAAATTGTTAGAAATAGGGGTAAAACCACACTGCTTACCATGTAACGGTGAAAAACTATATTTAATACGTGCACAGGGTATTTAATGATCGGTTCGTCCGAATTTAGACTGTATTTTTTTTTTAATATATTTTTCAACTTTTCATTCAAATACAATTTCTCGTTACTCATTTCTACGTGTGACTAAAATCTACAGGTATTTTGTGTTTAGTTTTTGGACTGAATTATTGTCAGTGATATTGCAAAATTTATTAGTTTGTTTACCCTTTTGTATGTACATAAGATTATTGTATTCATATTACACTTGTATATGTATAAAACATCAATCGCTAGGCTAGAGTGAAAATTTGCTAGGTCCACTTTTTATGAAAACTCATATTTTAATATATATAGGAAGCAAGGATATTAAAAATGCATCGCTTCAAAAGGCACTTGTTTTATTTTTTCTCGTTTATATTCAATGAAAGAAAAATTTGCTAAAGTCCAAAAGAGGCACCGAAAATCCGACAAAATCCGAAATAATACAAAATCTTTTAATAAGGAGCGAATCCTTCTTATTCGTGTGGAGTTTTGCTAGGAAATGGCTATAAGAAGTTTTTTCCTCTTCTGTAAAATAAAAAAAATGGGCTTAGCAACTTTGCACTCTAAGCTAGCGATATAACTTTTTGAACATTAAATTTGGTTTTGTCTTTTCTATTTGCATGTAAAAAAATTTTGGTTTTACCACGCTGCTGGTTTTCATTTAAAATTCTGCACCGCATTTTGATTTCGAAATCCATACATACACTTTTGACATTTCATGAATAAATCAAAAGGACGAAGATCATTTGATGAGGGTACGTTCATAAACTAATTCCTGTTACATAGTACGCTTGATCGAAATGTTTGCTGTAAACTCCTTTTGCTTGACATATTGAGCAGGATGCAATGACTTTTTGAAGGTAGTTTCACATCCTCTTCTTCTTATTCTTTTTAGACGCCTTGTTAGCTATCTGACAGAGATCGTGTTTCGTATTTTTTATGTTACCAATTTACTAAACAAAAAATCTACGTTTTTGCCGTTGGTAAAATGAAGCAAAGAAAGTATGAAAATTTTCAAAACATTTCAAATAATTTTCATTATAAATTGAGTTTATATTGTGTTCCGTTAAGTTCTCAAGCGCAAATTTGTTTGTGCGAAACGGTCGTGCATTGCTGAGTAAAAAAAAAATATATAGTACATAAAATAATAAATGAAAACCTAGTTCAATATCGTTACAGTGGCAACATTGTGCGTTTAAAAATTATTGTATCATGGCATTGAGTTTATATTGTAAATATGTCGATTATGGAAGAATTTTTTTTTGAAAATGTAAGAAAAAAATTGCTTGAAATAAAAATAAAAAAATTTAGAGGTGACAGATGTTCACTTGTAAAAATTGTCCACGTTTATAGTTAGTATGTAGTCTTTGAACGTATTCAAAGCTAAGACTAGGTAGCTATGAAGATGATTCTAAACTTTAAAAGCTATTCTTTTTTAAAGCACCACTCACAAAATATGACTTGGTAAAAACGTGTGCATAGGGACACGAATTTCGGTAAGGTACCATACCATATCGATACTTTTGGCATTCGGTACCGATACTTTTTACTCCATAGTTTTAAAACCAACGAACATTACAAAGTTAATGTTATTAATAATATATTCTGCAATATACTTCAAATAATTATATTTTGTAATTTATGTGTAAAGCAATACCGCGCCTTCGGTGATGTCATTTAGCTCACTAACCTCTGCATAAGCAAACACTAATTAAAGTGCAAAGTGTACCTTCTTTGTTAGAAAACGAGGTTAATATTCTGATTTAATTTTTTGATTTTGGTATCGATATTGGGAATATCGAGTATTTTTATACCGATACTAATCGTTAACCAATATTTTTACAGCGATACTATAAATGCGTACCATATCGATACCCTCGGTTTGACACCGTGTGCCTCCTTATGAATAGCAAAATTTCAGAATATTTGCATATAACTTTGTCTCCTTCATTTCTCTCAAGAAAAAGAATCGATAGAAAATCGAAGTCCAAAATTAATATTTTCATAGTGTACCCATAATCAAATTCTGTACGCTTCACTGTCATTGGCCAGACAACAGCATCTTAGTACACCAGTTCCTAATTCAAAGAAGTTCAAAGGAGCATCAATCGAAATTAGGAACTCCTCCAATAAGAGCCTCTGGTCTGGCCAAGACCGAATGTTCTTAAGCGAACGAGAACGATTGGTCCACGTGAACTTATTTTTACAAGCTTTTATTTAACTTGGTCCGTATAAATATAGGTATATAAGTAAGTTTGTTTGGGACATATCTTGCAATCAATTTTTGATCAACTTCCGGATTTCCTTGAGAATTTGAAACTTCACAATTGGCTCGGAACCCGATGACAATGCAATACGAAAATCGGATAGGTGGCGCAGGAGTCGAGATATTTGAAAAACCCCTTATTTATAGTCCGCTTTCATTCATATTAGGAACGTACATAAAAAGGAATAACTCCAGTGAAAATTTTGCCGATAGTTAGCGCTGGAAGCGATATATTTGGTAATCCGGTATTTACAATCCGATTTTGTTCACATTTAGATAGATTGCTTTAAAAATATTTGTTTTTACTACTAACTTATTTATTTTAATTGTTTGTTTCATTTTGGTATATTTTTGTGGATAGTTGTTATATTTTACATTTCGCTTTTCTTCATATTTTTGTTTCTTTTCTATGCTTCTTCGAGGAGCGTTTTAATGGTTTCAAAATTTGTTGGAACATGTTTCAGTCTCGGGTCATTTGTCTGACTAGGAAAAAATTAAAAATAACTTGGTTTATGTAGAAATTATCAGCCATTAAGCGACAAGGGAAATAAATTGTTTAAAAAGCTATAAAATCGGTCGAATTTCGACACTAACTGGCGGTCCTCACGATCATCATAATTTTTTCGGCCTATAACTCTTAGTGAGCCTCGGCCTGCTGCACATTGGACTCGATCGCTCGCTACCCTTCTTCAGTTCCTCATCTTCACACTTTTCATATCCTCTTCCAGCTCGTCCGACCATCTTTATCGTCGTATACCCTTTGCTTTAGTTTTGAAAGCTTTTGTGTCTACAACTTTCTTTTGTGCTCTCGTAGATTTCATCCTTACTATGAGTCCAACCAACTTGTTTACTGTGCTTTGATGAATGGAATTATATTTTCTTCCTCTATTAGCTGCTCGGCCGCTGTGATGTAGTGGTAAGCAATGCGCGCTTCCACTCCGCTGCGCCTGGGTTCAAGCCCTGGTCAAAGCAACATCAAAACATATATATATATATAAAGGTTTTTTCTTAACGGCGGTCGTCCCTCGGTAGTCAATGGCAAACCTTCGAGTGTATTTCTGCCATGAAGCTTCTTATAAAAATACAATCGCCGTTCGGAGTCGGCGTAAAACTGTAGGGGACCCACTTTGTGACACAACATCAAGGCGCACGCCACAAATCGGAGAAGAAGTTCGGCCAAACACTAACATATGTGCAAGCGCCAATATTTTATTATTATTAGCAGCTCCAGGTTGCTTTAAATCAATGAAAAGCATTTTTAAATGAATATTATGCTCACAACACTTTTTCATGGACTGTTTAATAGCGAAAATTCGATTTGTTGTTGAGCTTCTTGGTCAAATCCCACATTGATACTTTGCGAGAAGTTTTTGAAAAATCCTTGATTCCATTTTCTCAGGTATATGCTCGACTACCGAGTTTTTTTGTAGCTATAAGCTAGGCTTTAGAAAAAATCCCATTACAATTCTGCTGTACATACATATGATATTGCATTTAAAATACTTTTTATGTAACTTTATGGCAGATTCTATGTATGAGTGCTCGTTTTGTTTCTTGCCTCACATTTATAAATAGACATTTCCATTACATTTATAGACGTATGTAATAGTGACCGACATTTCGTGCCATTAAATGAAATCCGCACTGCGGGTTGTCATTGAAAGAAAGCCTTTGCAAACTCACGAAAATAGCACACAATCAACTGATTGTTGGATGTGCCTGAATGTGGTGCGTATATGTTAAATCCCAGCATATTATTCTGCTAAGGTCACGATTTGTAATAGACTCTCTAAAAATAGGAAATATAAATAAAATATATATAAATGGTTATTACTAGTACATACACAAATAAGTCTTAATTTACCTGGTAGTAAATATGATACCCATCAACTCATCCTAACACTATTCGTTATCACTTGTTTATTCTTCACCCACTTAAAACTTATAGAACTCTTCTGTTTTAAATATGTTTACATATATATAGATATTTACAATTACATACATTTACTAAAATGATGTATAAATGCATTACCTTTCTTTATTTAGACGGATACTTTCAACCCATTCGACACCGACAATGGACAACTCTTCGCTGCCTGTGGCTTAGATAGCAAACTACTGGACGACATGGACTTGGCCAGCTTAACATCGTCGAACACAGATGACCCCATGGTGGAGTTAGCCGATCTACGAAGACAGGTGGTTTACCTTCAGGTATTTGCACGTTTTAATTCGTTTCCGTTGTTATGTTCTGATTTAATCTGACAATGATAAAATGGGAGACTATGCTTTCAATTTAAGTTCTTCTTAAAAGTCTACTAAATACCTTTCTTTTGAGAGACGGCAACACAATGAGTATTTTCTGTTTACGTTATTTCTATGTGAAGGCATACATACTTACCATGTTACTAAAAAAGTTGAATAAAAAAAAAAAAACTTTATAAAACTTTCTGATTGAGATCCTTTTAGTCAGTTCCCGTAAAAGTTTAACATTTTCACATAGCCCAAATAAAGACTTCCAATACATTAACTGCAAAAATTTAATTAAAACTAAGGTAATTTTTACAAATGTACATATGTATGTACGTGCGACAAGATAGCGTTTAAACAGATTCCTATCATGTTCAGTTCCTTAAATTAATTTCTTTTGTTTTTTTGAGATTTTGAATTCCATTCGTTTTTCTGTACAAACAAACATAATTACACTTTTAGTAATCTATTTTTGTAAAAACATATATATACTTGTACCTAATTTTTAATTGCATAAAAAGCATGTAAATAAATGTTTTTACACTTACTCGTATATGCCTTAAAACAACGCACCAAATACGCCTGGTCATTATCGTATTTACATAGACATGGAGCAATATGTATTCGTAGTTTTATCGGAATGCAGTGGCAAAAGTGTTCGATGTGCAGTGAAGGAGAGGAGAATTTTTTGAGATGCTACTGGTAATGTGATTAATGTTGGACACATTCCTGTGAGTTTAGTATCCTTTAGGAAACCTCTTGGATAAATCTGAATGAGATGCTATTGAATTCCTTCTCATATTTTAGGTTTAAATACTTGTAGGACATTACTTGTTAAGAAATTTACTTGTTTATTTAAATTTTTACAAAATCTTTCCTGTGGATACTTTTTGTAGTCAAATGAAAAAATGAAAAAATAATTGGTTAGAGAAAAAATAAAATTTGTAATAAGAACTTTAAATATATTTCGTGTTCGCATTTCTTATTACAATTGGTGACCCCGACGTGATCGAGTACACGATGCCAAATACGCGCTCCAGAGATAATGCCACCTCATCGCAGGAATCAGCCTCAGTTGGTAATACATTTGCTGCCGCTTCAAGCGTTGTGAATGCTTCATCATCAGCCGTTCATCTTCGCGTTCCGAAATTTTGGAGAGAAAACCCGCTGGTTTGGTTTGCCCAGATCGAAGCACAGTTTGAACACCATGGAATCGTGGCTGAGAAAACGAAATATTTCACTATTCTTCCTGAATTGGAGCCTGATCTTTTAAGTCAGGTGAGCGACATTATTTTGGCTCGACCTCAGAATGTTTATACGCAGTTGAAACAACGTCTCGTCGATCATTTCTCTATATCGGAGGAGAAAAGAATTCAGAAGTTATTGAACGATTTGGACGCAGGGGACAAGAAACACAGTTGCCTTCTACGGGAGATGCGTGGTCTCTCTCATGGTGGTGTCAGTGAAGACTTTCTACGTAATATGTGGCTTCAACGACTGCCTTCACAAACACAAGCTGTGTTAGCAACATCTTCCGAAGCTCTTGATAAACTCGCAGTTATGGCGGATAAAATCCAAGCCATATCAGCACCTCAATCAACAGTGGCTGCTGTACAATCTTTTCCTGAACTAATGGATCTTCAACAACAAATTTCAACTTTAAGCACAGCAGTAAGTAACCTTCAGAAAAAACGCTTTCAACACAGGAGTCGATCGAGTTCTCGTGGATGTTACAAAGCTGAGTCAGCTGCGAATACATCAGAATGGTGCTATTATCATCGTCGATTTGGACCTAAAGCTCGGAATTGTCGACAACCCTGCACCTTCAAGCAACGTCGCCAGGGAAACTCGCCGGCCGGTCACTAGATGAAACTAGTGGCCGGAACTCTACAATTAATCGCCTACATATCTTCGATAAGCTCACACGCATAAACTTCCTGATAGACACTGGTGCAGATGTGTCAGTACTACCGTCAACAGCAATATCATCCAAAAAGCCCGATAAATACAAGCTGTTTGCTGCTAATGGCACACCTATAAACACGTTTGGCACTCAACTAATAGCTCCCACTTTTAGTCTACGCCGTTCGTTTGCTTGGGAGTTCATTATTGCTGATGTTAACAGCGCTATAATCGGCGCGGATTTTTTAAAACACTTTGGCCTACTAGTTGATTTAAAAGAAGGATGTTTAATAGATTCCGAAACAGGCCTACGTTCTGCTGGTAAGTTACGCACAGCAAATGAATTGCCAGCAGTTAAGACGCTTGTTAGTACAACGATTTTTCATAAACTTTTATCTCGATATCCGGAGTTAACTAACCCATCGTCACATCAGAAAAAAGTCCCTCATAGCGTTGAACATGTTATTGAGACAAAAGGTCCAGCGATATTTTCGAGACCTCGTCGTTTAGCACCTGATAAACTCGAAATTGCAAAACGAGAATTTCAGTTTATGATGGATCAAGGACTTTGTCGTCCATCGAAAAGCTCCTGGTCCAGTCCGTTGCATATGGTCTTAAAGAAAAATGGTGAATGGCGTCCTTGCGGGGATTATCGTCGTCTTAATGCACAGACTGTTCCTGACCGTTATCCCATTCCGCACATCTATGATTTTGCTTATGGGCTTTCAGGAAAAACTATTTTTTCAACTATCGACTTAGTTCGTGCCTATAATCAAATTCCGGTTGCTCCAGCCGATGTTCAAAAAAACCGCAATTATTACGCCATTCGGTTTATTTGAATTTCAATTTATGACCTTTGGTTTATGTAACGCCGCTCAAACATTTCAGCGGTTTATGCATGATGTTCTTCGGGGGCTAAACTTTTGTTTCCCTTATCTCGACGATGTTCTAATCGCATCCGAATCTCTAGAGCAGCATTTAATTGATCTTGAGCAATTATTTAATCGCTTACAGACATATGGTCTAACTGTTAATGTTTCGAAATGTCATTTTGGACAAGACAAAGTAATATTTCTTGGCCACTTAGTTTCCGCCGAAGGCATTCAACCAATTCCTGAGAAAGTCGATGCAATCTTAAACTTCCCGCAACCGAAAACTGTCAAGGAGATGCGACGTTTTACTGCGATGTTAAATTTTTACCGAAGATTTTTACCGAACGCGGCGGAGATGCAAATCCCACTTCTTATTTATCAGAAAGGTAATAAGAAGAACGACAGATCTCTAATCGAATGGACACCTGAAGCTCAATCTGCATTTCAAAAATGTAAGAACGAATTGTCCCGATGTACGCTGTTGGCTCATCCTACCGATTTGGTACCGATATCCGTTATGGTCGATGCGTCCGATTTAGCAATTGGTGGGGTTCTTCAACAAAAAGTTGGTGAAGTTTGGAAACCACTTGGATTCTATTCTTTGAAGCTGAATGATACTCAAAAACGCTATAGTACTTATGATAAAGAACTACTTGCGGTATATCTTACGGTGAAGCATTTTCGATACATGCTAGAAGGTCGAAATTTTATAATCTACACGGATCATAAGCCTCTTACTTTCGCTTTTAAACAAAAACCTGAAAAGGCTTCACCTCGTCAATTCCGTCAACTTGACTTTCTGTCACAGTTTTCCACGGATATACGTCATATTAAAGGGAATGAGAACGTTACGGCAGATACTCTCTCTCGGATCTCCACTATAGATTTGCCAAACCTCATCGATTATGAAGAATTGGCAAAAGCGCAAGAAGGAGATGCAGAATTAAAAGCTTTAATAGAAAATCCAAGTTCTTCATCTTTAATTCTTAGAACTTTAACAATTCCATCGACATCGAGACCCATATTTTGTGACATTTCCACATCAACTGCAAGACCCTTTATTCCAAATTATTTTCGCGGAGAAATTTTTAAGAATGTACACAATATGTCTCATCCAGGAGCAAATTCAACAACTCGAATGATTTTACAACGTTTCGTATGGCCAAATTTAAAAAGGGACATTAAAATATGGTCTAAAGCTTGTAGCATTTGTCAACGTTCAAAAATTTATCGACACAATCACAGCGCTGTAGGTAGCTATGATTCTCCAAGTTCACGCTTCTCGCACATTAACATTGATCTAGTCGGACCATTGCCTTCCTCGCGTGGGTATTCGTATATTTTAACTTGTATTGATCGATTCACCCGCTGGCCAGAAGCGTTTCCCATAGTAGACGCAAGTGCACACTCAGTAGCGGACGCTTTATTTCACGGATGGATATCTCGTTTTGGAGTTCCTTCCAGGATTACAACGGATCAGGGTCGTCAATTTGAGTCAAATTTATTTAAAGAACTTGCACAGCTTCTTGGTTCTCAACGAATACGCACTACGCCATATCATCCTTGTGCCAATGGCATGATTGAACGGTGGCATCGTTCGCTGAAGACTGCTTTGATGTGTCACAATACTAATAGCTGGATGGAAGTGTTACCAATTGTGCTGCTTGGTCTTCGATCAAGTTTACGTGAGGATGTAAACGCTAGTCCTGCTGAACTTGTTTATGGAACTTCTTTAAAGCTTCCTTGTGATTTTTTTAATAACACTAGCGATTTGTCTCCTTCAGATGACTTTGTCAAGCAACTGAAATCTTCAATGAACTCGTTACGTCCAATTGAAGTTAAGCATAAATCAAATCGTTCTGTTTTCGTCCACAAAGATCTTGCTTCATGCACTCACGTATACGTGCGTCAAGATTCTATTAAAAAATCTCTTCAACCACCATATGATGGTCCTTATCTGGTTCTGAGCAGAAATGACAAAGTTTTCAACATCAAAATGAATGATTCCACCAAATCAATATCAATCGATCGACTCAAGCCAGCATTTATGTTCAATACTGATATTTGTGAAGACCCTCGTTCAGTTCCTGTTATAGTATATCCCAATTTTGGAAGTCGCATTCCACGTCATGTACGCTTTAGATCGAGACTTCAACCTTAGCAAAGTCTCTGGAGGGGGAAGTATGTAGGACATTACTTGTTAAGAAATTTACTTGTTTATTTAAATTTTTACAAAATCTTTCCTGTGGATACTTTTTGTAGTCAAATGAAAAAATGAAAAAATAATTGGTTAGAGAAAAAATAAAATTTGTAATAAGAACTTTAAATATATTTCGTGTTCGCATTTCTTATTACATACTCTTTAATAAATATAATGGCATCATCAGATTATTTCAACAATGAACAGCATTTAGCATGCAAAGTCTTGGCTCCAGACAAACATACTCTCTTAAGGAAGGGTTAGTTATCATCGCTAAGAAAACCACTGGTCTGCAACAACTTTGCGGGGTTGCCTACAAAAGTTTCTGCGTTAGCTGTAAAAGTGAAACACCCAAGTGAGAAAGTCCTTGAAAACATATTTTTGGCAAGGATGTAACAACCTTATAAAGGGAATCATTCAAGAGTTAAGCTCGGAACACTTTGACGACAGCAAGCGACAAGCAGCATCTGTCAAATTTTAAATACACACGTTCTTACGGGCACACTTATTTTGACGACAGCACGACATCTTGGCTGCAGGACTGCAATTGTCGACGTCGCCAAATTAAATCTATTTCTAATTTTGCCGGCGACAATGAGTAGATGTAGTGCTGCAAAATTAAATTGTCGCAAAATTAATCACATATTCTTGATTGTTCATGTTTTTCTTATTTACTTAAATAAAAATACACAATTTGTGAAATAAATATACCAAAATGTCAAACTTTAAAATCGGCTGTTTGCTATGTCGCTGAGGTCTTCAAAATGTTTAAGAAGCTGGCTTCAAGGCGACATTTGTCGACAAAATGATGTCGCTGTCGTTACGTCGTGAAGTTGCAGTCGTCAAAGTGTTCCGAGCTTTAGACAGCAAAGTTCTTTACAAACTGATTTAAATATTGCATTTATAAAAACAAACCACAATTTTACTTAAAAAACTGTACGAACATTTCTTTTAATTATTGTCTACTGGCCGGGTAGAGAGAGTGTTACCTTTCTACAAACGGTCCGGCCAGAGTTTTGTAGGGAGTTACTATTTATATAGCCACTATATTCAAATTCAAAGCAGCCCACATACAGCATTGTGAATAAGACCCAAATCTCAACTTTAACCCTTATGTAAATACAAAAAAAGGTGGTACGAATTGTGAATATCTTGACAACCAAATTACTACTTACGATCATGAAATTTCATGATAGCCTTGTGCTAATATTTTTGAACACCATACCCTTTAATAAAACTTATTTTATGATAAAGGTGACTTTTTTCATGGTTTGAGTACCGAAGTTCTTAAAGGCAAAGTAGTTCTACGTTTGTATCACCTAATATTTTCATACATTTTGTATGGGATATGTATCGAATTTTAGTCATTTGCATAGCAAGGTATCACTATAAGCAAGAGATGAAAGAGAAGAAAAATTAGAGTATGAAGTTAATTCTACAACAATAAAATTTAGGTATGCAAATACTTAGTCAGTAAGTTGCTGCTTATGATGGATTGTATAAGTTGCTCCTGATAAATAGTTGGTAAGCGACTGGAGTTTAAGAGATATTTTTGTGTGTTGCGCTTTTCTTATGGAAATGGATGACTTTAGTATGGAAATACGTAATGCTATTTACATATCGAAACCTGAGCGGACGATCGACCTATCTTGGCAGCCAGTTCGAAAACGCCCTGTCTCAGAAAACTTTTCAAGAACGCCCTATTTCAGAATTTGGTTGAAAAACGCCCTACCACAGAATTTGATTGAACAAAGCCCTATCTCAGAATTCGGTTCAAAAACGCATTAGCTAACTAGCGCGATACCGAGTTGTAGAAAATTCCACTAGTTCACTAAATACATACCGAAACCAATGGCAATCAACAAAGTTGCAAAGAAAGTCCATAGAATCTGGGCTTGCAAACAGGGATGTCACACATACTTATATTTATGTATATGGTGCCTGGCTTCAAAGATAAATATATCAAGAAACTTCATAGCAGATTAAGAAAATCTCCTCGTCTCCGATAAGTGCCGCTGTCCGTATGGGATTTCCCCTAACAACCTAGGCACAAGCTGCATTTTTGCCAATGCTTCCGATGTTAGGAGGAAAAAACTAAATTATTTTTTTTAAACCAATTAAAAAATCTCCTTTTACACAACCGTACGAACAATCTCACTCACATAATTCACATCAGTAACTGTTTGCCTAATTTTTACTTTGAAACTATGTTATGATTGTTTTTTTCTTAATATTAGCTTAACAAATATCTACGTTTTCTTATCTGAAGTTCTAAAATATTTTTGTATAAAATTTCAATCACGCAACAACACTAGGGTGAGGTCGAAGATCGTGAACGCACAATACGTTTACAAAAAAATAAAATTGAAAGTTTGGAGTTGAAAAGGCCGGAAATCAGTAGTGACACCACAAAGGAATGCATAAATACAGCAACACAAACAGATAGGGTATGTACCCAATAGGTATAAAAAGAAATTATATTTTACATTTTTTTTTTAATAAACTCTCATGAAATCTCATCTTAATTGGTTAATTCTTTTCATCCGTGTTTTTTGATATGCCAACAGACACGACCTTATTCATATGGTCCGGAGGGATTGTCAAGGTAAGGTTTATTCTAATACCATTTGTAAAAATATCAAAACCGATTTTAATTAATCTCTCTTTATTTAATTTATTCTTAGTTCTTAAGTACAACTCAACTTTATTTTCTTTAACTAAATTTATTACTGAATTTCCTCCCAACAGCGTCTCTATGCAACACCACGAAAACCCACTACTATTCCGACTCGCTTGTTATTGCAAGCGAAAAGCTTTACAATACTTCAATTATCTTAAAACTAAAATACCCACAAAACATTTTGCCTCCAGTCAGATACTAATCGCATCCTTTCCAGCAGCTGCACGGCGCTTCTTCACTATAATTCACCGCAAATTGCAACATTTCAAAGACAACTTCGGTGGCATTGTAATCGGTTGCCTAAACGGCATCACAGCGCCAAGTAGCCAAAGCGGCATCGGTGTTGGTGTTGGTGTTGGTGTAGCTGTTGACTATGATGGCTGGCGATCGTGCCTTAGTCGCATCGATAGCACCTTGCAACGGCTTGTTGCATTTGCATGTGCAACGTTGTTGCGCTTCACGCGCAGTTGCGCCGATTTGCATAGTTGGCGTTGTTTGGCTGCAAATTGCAGACAGCTTTCGTGCAATATTTTGACATGCTACAACACAAACTGCAGCAACTACATGCATCATCACTATTATCGCGGCCTAGTTGCATACCGCCATGGCTGGGCCAATTGGCTCCATTTACGTGTGCGCAATGTAAGCGATTTGCTTGCGACGAACATCTTTTGTTTCTTTCACTATCTACAACGAATTTTGCCTTAAGCAATTTGTTTTTGCGAAATTTCGTGAAATTAGAAAGACAAAAAAAAAACAATACTAACAACCAATGAATGTAGTATAAAAATATACAATGGTTTGTAGGAGTTGGGAAGAGGGGAATTAATTAACGTGCTTGTTTAATTATGTAGTACATACTTCAGTTAGGCCACGTTCCAGAAATAATTAATTTTTTTCTAATTTCAAAATTTCTTTGCATAATTGAATAGTTATGTAAACCTATATTCGTAGATATGTATGTACCTATACTTAGTTACAGAGCGTATATGTATATGTACACTATTTACATGAAATTTTTTCCAACCTTTTTTCTTACTTTCACACTTCCTTATAAAAGTATGTATATTGCTTCATAAAAATAGCTAATCTCATAAATTTCTCTTTCATGCTGCCTTTTTTAAATGGGTTTCGGGAATTATTATATTTAAAAAATAATAATAATAATAATATATTCAAATAAAAAATATGCATTATGTTAACGCACACATACACACACAAACACATGCATACATTTCTCCATACACCTACTTGCACATTATTACACAATAACGCACCAAAACATTCTACTGAATTGTGTCAACTGGTTAAAACTTATAGACTACGCTTTGGCGAAGAACAGGTACTGTTTTGTGATCTTATCATGGCTGTTATGGTTTTATGCGCCATTAACATTATTTGTATACTACATATAACCTATTCATGTATTGACAATTGTTCATCTTGTCTTTAAAGCTAATAGAACACAAATTAATTTGTTAGTCACTACCTATTTAGAAATATAAGGAAATTAAAATGAGTTAATACTTAGTAAAAAAAAAATATGTATACAAAAAAAGATGAGCTTTACAAATTAAATGAACACCAAGTATAAGTTTATTTTGTTTGAATTATTTCAATTTATTTTTTAGATATTTATTCAGATTTTTAACAAATTATACATTCCAAAGTACCCGGCAAGCGCTGGCAAGATCTTATCGAGTAAAACAAGAATCGAAATATGAAATCAGCCGAACACCTCCAAAAGCTTGATTTGCATACCTTTGCGCCCTTAAAACGCCTAACAACCGCTGTTCCTTTTCTCACCGGTTACCGTATTGTAATTTCTTTTCTGCCAAAAAATGTGGCCCTTTCCCGGTGTAAAATGTGTTAGATGTTACACTCAACCTTGTAAAAGGGCATATTTTTGCCTACTTGTCCGTGTCCGTTAGCTCACGTAATTCATAAAATTATCGTTTTAAGCAACTATCTTATTTTAAGGGCAACCATCACCCCTGACAAAGCTTCAAAGCGCAAGGAATGTGCTTTTTTGCCTTACAATAGGGTGACATTTTAAGAAACGAACACAAAATTTTCTCACCCTTTGCCTTTATTTTATAACTGAAAACGAAAAGAGTAAGGCGCAATTAAAAGGCGACATTTTTTGGTAGAAACGAAATCACCATTAGACCTCTCGAATGATGTACGTCTTGATTAAATTTTGGCAATGCATTTTGACACTATTTTATGAAGCAGCTATACCAACTCTGAATTTACCACAAGACTATTCAATAGCGAGTAAAACGAATGTTTATTTTCAAACATCGGTTGAAAACTGAGTGAGTTATTCATCTTTTAACGAAAATTTATTTCAAATTAGTTATTGCTGTTCACTACAAGGACACACTGATGAATAGTTGAAAAGAATTTCGCTTACATTTTTTTCGATTACAGTGTCTTTGCTCTTATATGAAATATTTTTTTTTTTTAAGTTTTATTATAGTTAATTTAAAACCAAAGTAAGCTATGTTTATTAAAGTAGCACTTAAGAAAAAAAAAATTAACAAGCAATTTGAAATAAGTATGACTTATTTTTGGATGAAGGTAAAGACAATATAAATGAAATTAACAAAATTTAATCGAAATATGATTGTACATTTTTGATAAGAAAAAATACATACATTGTATGTACATAATACTAGCAATACTAAAACAAAATATGTACACTAGGGCGGGTCGATTTGTTCTTAACAAACATAACCGACTTTGCCTCGGCGACAATTCTGATCAAAAAAGTCCATTGAAACATAGCTCTAAAATAGATTTCGAGCCTCCTTATTTCTAATTTTAGTTCTTAATTCCTAATCGATTAGTTTTTTTTTATACATATTTTGTAATTTTTTTTTTTTAATGTGTGTATGTGGATTTTGCGCACGAGCAATTGGACGAATTTTTCAAAGGAAAGAATTTATCACTGTCCGCATTAATTTCGTGTCGTGGCGAAGTAACGAATGCTGGCGAAAATAAGAATATAACAAAGTTAAAAAAAAAATGGAACAGTTTAAGTGCGGCCATTTTTTATAGATTTTTTGTTGCTACTTACGAATCCATAGGCAAAAACAGGTCTAGGTAAGAACAAAACTCTTCAAACATATTTAAAAATAAAGCTTTGTTGTAACACTTTTGCTTGACACAGATATTTATTGTGATGTTTCATTTATCTTATCAATTCCTTAGAAATATTTCCCAAATTAAGCTTTCGAAATCACTTTATTTTGAAACTCATATAGAAACATTTCATTTACCATATAAATTTAATTTAATTAAATTTTCTAAACAGGTGGCGGCACCCTTCAAAATTTTGTTTGGAAATAAATCTTTCTTAAGCCACCTTAGTTTGATACCCATTTTGCAAAAATATGTTGCTTATCGCATCGATTTAATTGAACTGAAGCTAGTTAAGAAAAATAAATTGGTTATGAATTAGATAATAACTAAAAATTAAAAATAAGCAGACTCGAAACCCCTTAAAAGCTACGTTTCCATGAATTGCCAGTAGAATACGTCAGTCGGCGAAACGAAGTAGAGAAAAAATTTTACCCGCCCTAATGTATATCAAAAAAAAAAAACAAGCTAAAACGAATAACAGAATATCTACAGTTTGCTCGCAAATATTTTTGATAAGATTCAACTAATGTTTATGTAAAAAAATGGTAATTGATATTATAATTTATTTATTTAGAAACAAATTCAAGCGGAATTTAAGACCAGTCTTTAAACTAAAACTACTGAAAAAACGATTGATCCGGTATAGCAAAGTGAGGAATTTAAGCAAGCCCAGCCTCAGCACTTTAGCTTTTAATGCTTTATTATAATAACTTAAATTTGTTTTAAAACGCAGGATTTTTGCATTCTAAACAAAAAGTGCTAAGACGTTTCTTGTTACTATGTTGAAATTTTGTGAAGTAAAAACATTTTTATATCGAAAATCTCGCATTCTACAAGAAAAGTGGAATGAAAAATGTAAATCAAATTAAATTGAAATGGAAAATAACACTTTGAAATGTATTAAAAATTATATTGTATATTATGGTATTGTATATAAATAGGTTTACGAGTATACATAGCTTGAAATGACCGCTAACATTAGCAAGCCCCATAGCTTTGTCAATTTTATTTATGAATCTTATAACAAATTTTAAAAATTGCTTTTCAAATTATTTTTAATTATTAACATAAATGCAATGATCGTAGTATCCTAATTAGATAATAAAACTATATATTATTAAAAATGTGAAACACACAAAAAATTCTTTAAAACTCTGTTGAAACTTTTTTAATTGCATGCGGCAATTTAATAGACTTGTGAGGTAATGCCTTCATGCCACTAACAAAAAAATAACAAGAAACATTTTATGGTAAAGTATTTTGATTTATTGAATTTGCGCAACTGAATGCTTAGAACGTTTTTTTTTTTATATATAAGTATTCAAAAATAACGCATAGGACCTGCATACGGTCTGTGTTGGCAGATACACAAGTACTTAGTTTGTTCACTTACAAAATTATTTGATTAAATGTTAGTAAATCGCTTAAGATAGAGGCGTACAACGACCGAAAACTTTTTATGCAGCACCAAGTGTGTGAGCCACTAAAATTTGATAGTGGGTGTTTGCACCTATATACGTATATTGGGCCATCTGCCCTGCAAACCATAATTTCGGAGTATTCTGAGTTGTAGAGAAACTTTAAAGAATTCGTAATGATCTCATACGATTTTTTTGCCGAATTTTCTAATATGACACAAACTATGCCCACTTCGATTCTTTTACGAAATTTATGAAGAAAATCAGAAAAGCAATGAAAATAATGCTGCTATGTGAAGAATTTCTTGCAGAATTTTTTCAGAATTTTCTTTATTTTTCGTACAGAAATTTCTTTACGAGTTCGTGTCAACCACTTTATATAATCTGCTTTGAAGATTCGTAAAAAAATCGTTAAAGAAATGAGATACTCCTAAAGATATCGTTAAGATTTCGGGATATTTGGTTTGCAGGGTGTTTACTATATGTATGTGGTTATATTTTTTTATCAGTTTACAAAAATTACATACACTAGAGAATAATAATTTTTAATTAGATAACCTGATTACCAGGCAAACCAATCGCTGGTCGCTAGTGTTGTCAAGGATATGGACGCATGATTTAAGATCTTAATCATAATGCACTTTTTGCGAGCTTTAGAAAATTGCCAATTCTGGGGTCCGCAATATTCTTCAGCTAGGAAACGCCAGGTTAGCTAAGTCGCGAACTTCCAAAGGGAGCAGAGTGCCAAAGAAGATATCATGCTCCCACCCCGTCAAGCAAAGAAATTGCACGTGTTGCTATTGAATCGAAGTCCCTTCTTCCACCCGTCTAGCTCTAATATTACGTCCGGCCGGAGCTGAGGACGGCTCCTTGTGGAGTGCCTCAGTTCGCCTCCCTTGAGATCACCCCTCTCACACACCACTGTCCGACAATTCAAAAGATTACTGATTCCTTGACGAATTACAGGATTAACGGCCATAAAATCAAGATCCTCTAACAAAAGAAAAGCTCCCTCTGTGGACTTTTCCTTCTTACAGCCGTGCTGATTTCTTGATATTAGATTAGGCAAAAATATCTGATGGGGTTTTCGAGAGAAAAGTTCCACGAAAACTGACGGGCTTTCACGCATTGGTGACGGCGAACACCGCAGACAATTTAAAGATGAGCCGTATGTGTTTTTCAGCGATATAGACGTTGTGAAGCGATTTAAAATACACGGCTACTCTGGCTTGGATATGTCGTACGTATGGAGAGAAACGCCACCGCTCTGAAAGTATACGATGCTTGTAGCAATGAAAGATCAGGTGGGGTATTACTTGGCTTCACTTGATATTTCCAATTGTCGTCAGTGGGAAGTCTAGCCGCTCCTTAGTCTTTAGAATTCTGTTTGACTTCTTCCAAGTACATCGCATGGGTGTACACTAGGGTGGTCCAAAAAAGCTAAGTCGGAATAATAATGCCCTCACCCACTAAGATTGTTCTATACTGAAAAAATTATACCCCATTTTTATAGTTTTTTAATCAAAAACTATTTAAAGGTCGTTCAAAATTTTCCACGTATTTTTTTTGGGAAAAACCAGTTTTCGTAGAAATGGTATAGATTTCTTGAAAATCAAAAAAAAAAATTTCGATCGGAAAACTTTGTTTCTCTTCAGGAGACTTTGAATAACAAACCCATTTGTTTATTAAACCATTTTCCATTATTAACTACTTTTTATAGCACCCCTGGCACCCCTGAAATCCTCAAAAAAGTGTAATTGGGCGACCCGTAAAAAAGCGCCAGTTTTAAAAAAACTAATAAACAGTCGGGTATTATTATGAGCAGTCTCCTAAAGAAAACCAAAGTTTTCCGATCGAAAAATATTGATTTTCAATACTTGTGTACCAATTCTACAAATTGCTGTTTTACTTTGAGCAGGTTGAGCGACCTCTAAACCTAAAAAACCGGGGTATATTTTTTCGAGCAATCCTAGGGGATGAGAGCATTAAAATTCGGATTTTCCTTCTTCGCATGCATTTATTTTAGACCACCCTAATGTGTATTGTACTTACATACTATAAAAGGTACATCTGTAGAAAAGTTTTTGGTTAGTCAATGAAAGCATTCAATTGTGCAAACGAAAGTTAGAAAAGAAGCATGCGATTAGTTATATGTACACACATACATACATACATACCACTATATTCATACTAATACCAAAATCACTTCATAAGTTTACGAAATTGCACGACATCGAATTGTACTGTAAATAAAACAACATAACGCCATTCTAATCTCTACTTCTCTATTCATTTCTTTTTGGTCCCCAACATTGTGTCCGCTTGCCATCATTGAAAATCACATAGAAGTAAACCCGAGTACACCAGCTACACGACGCATTATCATCCCGCAGCTAGTTGCAATAACAACAGCATATGCAGCAGCGCCAACAACAGCAACAACCACACTCTTTGTCCACACCACCAACAACAACTGCAACACAACTGCAATGGCAGCAATAATAATCTCCCAGTTGCAGCTACAGAAGCAGCATCTCAACAAATACGACGTCACACCATCATATCGACCACTCTGAGCAATTACAACAATCAACAGTTGGCAATGGCACCGCGACGTGCTTCAATCGCGTGGGAAAAGCCAACAGCGACAGCACCCACAACAGCCGCTACGCTGACCCAGACATCAGCCGCTGGCACAGGAAAACACGCGCCAACCGCAAACATTTACAAGCCCGTGAAAATTACACTAATCGGCGAACCATTGAAGCAATGGCAATGGAATGCTGTTGGCAATGGCAAGACTGCTGCTACTCAAAGTAATGGCAGCAACAATACGGCAATAAGCAATGGCAGTGACAAAGTCAGTGTGAAGTGTGAAGCAGCGGGCGGAAAAATTAGTGGTAACGGTACTCGTAGTAGTTTTGGGATGTGTAATAGTCGTACGAATGGCCTTTCGAAAGTATACAAAAACAACAATGGCTTGTGCAATGATGGGTCAGCAGGTTCGTGTGGCAGCAATGGATATGCGAATGGTAATAGCAGTAATTACGAGGCAAAAGCAATTGAGGGTGTTAGGAATGTCAAGCAGAGTGGCTACAATGGCATTGGTGTCGGTGTTGGTGTCCGTTTGGGTAATGGCGAACAAAAGCAAGCGACGTATCAGTCCAACCAAAATCATCATACACAGCATCTGCATACGCAGCAGGCACTGGCACAGACGGAACAACAGCAGCAAACACATGTGCAACATGCAAGCAAAATTGTTTATCAGCAGCAGCAGCAGCAGCAGCAGCAACAACAACAGCAAAACCCACTGCAAGTCTATCAAACGTCTAATGGCAGCAATGGCAATTTCTATCCAACAGTTACTATAGTCTGAGCGCGAATGTATTGTAATTAGCTTGTAATGTCTGAGATTCATATTAGAATTACTATTACGTATACATACATACATAAGTACGTAAATACAAACATATGTACATACACATATGATGTTTAGAAACATTTTTGAAAGAATTTCTCAACAGCTGATATTTTTAAATTTTGTAGAATTTATATTTAAAAGTAAATACACAAAGGCCCAATTTGTAATCTGTCGGCCAAGTTTAAAAAAAAACTTTACTTATAGGCAGTTTCCACGGAGCCCATGTTGCGCAATTTCAACACTGTTCTCAATTTCAGCTGAAATTACGATACGATTCGCAAATTGGCTTTACAATAACCTGTCACCTGAAATTGAGTATGAATCCCATTTTTAGTTACATTGAAACGAAATTACCACAATTTCACGAAAGCAACTCCACAGAGTACTTATTTCGAAATATTAATGAGCGAAAAGAAGAAAAACAAACTTCAATAACAAACAAATAAAAATAACGAACAAAATTCATATTAAACAAAAACAAACTGAAATTAAGATGATCATGTAAACAGCTATTATTTCAAATTGAAATTGAGGGTTGAAAACGCGCCTCGGAGAAATTCACTTTTAATTTGTTTTCAATCAACCCGCATCGTGGAATCCAATTGAGACGATGCATGTAACATAATGTGAGAGTACTTTCCAAAGTTGCAAGATTTCGAATTTGTTCGAAAGCGGTCCCTAACGGTATGCGTGCAAATGAAATAAGTTATTATGAGTATACTAGTTAAAAATTGCGTTTGACCTTTCAAACTCGCAAAACTCACAAGCCTCTATATAAAAACCTTTAATACACATACCAATATTTTACGCATTGAAGAAATGATGTGAATAAAATTTAAAGCACGATGACTTAGTTTTGAGATGATGTGTATGTAGAGTGTTCTTGATTTATTTCTAATTTGTAACAGAGCTACGAGCTTTGCAGACTCTGCTTTTATACATTTCCCCATAGGCTATTCATGCCAATTACTATTTCCAATTGAGTTAAGAGTATTAGAGTTTCAAAAACGTAGAGAAAGAAATGGCCATACAAATAGTATACCTACATATATAAGGGCGGGTCAATTTGTATGGGAGATTTTTTTCGTCTATAGGCGTATAACATTGGAGTATTCTACGTCTAATTCTAAGCAAGTTTGCCGAAGCAACCATGGGTCTAAAAGCAATTTCGAGTTTACCAAATTGCGAAAATAGGTTCCTTAGCATTTGTCGTAGTGTCGTAAAAAAGTGTTTAAATTTTGTATAAAAACATGCTGGAAGGGCTTTTTGGTATGAGGAATCCATAACTGCACTTATTTTGTTCGTAAAACTTTCACCAGAGGGTGAAAAATTTTAATTTTCATATTTTCTTCGAAACCTATTTTCGTAATTTGGCAAACTCCAACTCCGTAAATTTGCTTAGAATTCCATGTAGAATCCTCCTATGATATACACGCATAGTAAAAAAAAAAATTACCCGCCCTAACATACGCACATATGTTTTTTAGCCAGCTGTAAGATTTTTTAAGGCAGGTGGTTTTCCTACATGGAATTTCATCAGTGGGAGTTCATAGCTCAGGTTTCGGTTCCATTTGAAAATACATATATTTTTTTTATGCATACATTTATCTTTTCTTTTTCGATTTCTTTTTAGCTTTGTGCTAAGGGGTTACAACTATATTAACAACTTATATTATTAATATTATTATCATTATTATTATAATTATTATTATTGTTATTATTATTATTATTATTATTATTATTATTATTATTATTATTATTGTTATTACTTTATCGATGTTTAACATCGGAATTCACCCACACCGGTTAGAGAAGTATGTATTATGCAGTTGGCCTCAGACGATGTTTTATAAGGTAAATTTAGAAGTTCCCAAACGATTTTACAGCTGTGCAAAATTAGCGCTTGGAATAAACGTTTAAAGGTGTAAAGCTTTCAAATCAGTTGTTAGCAAATCCACCACTGGTATCAGTAAATCTTTCTTGCATTTCCAATGGGTCCTTAATTCCTGGCAGAAGCTATATTGTTACGGCACTTCTGGTAGGCTGGTGGAGCTTACGCTGATCAATGGGCGCACAGTGGGATGAACATCAAATCAAGCGCGCTAAAACTCTAATTGTCACAATCATATATATTTTACACTGTTATACCTGAACTCATTTTTCGTATTTATATTTATGTTAGAGCGTCGGCCGCTGTGGTGTGGTGGTAAGCAGTGCGCGCTTCCACTACGCAACGCCTGGATTCAAGCCCTGGTCAAAGCAACATTGCAAAAAAATATAGATAAAGGGGTTTTCTTAACAGCGGTCGTCTCTCGTCAGGCAATGGCAAACCTCCGATTGTATTTCTGCGATGAAAAACAGGTTATTTGAAACGAGTACAAAATTATTTCACCCTTTGCCTTTAGTTTAGAATCAAACACGAAGAGAGAAAGAGGCAATCAAAGGCGAAATCACCATAAGTGATGGTCAAACGCACAGGTATGATTTCTTGTAACTTATTATTATTATGCTGTCTTTCAAGACTGGCGTGGTCATATATGTTCACAATTTTTTTCAGAGGTGATAACATACATATGTATCTACCTACCTGACAAAGATGTGTATCTCACACTGCCTGTCGCTGAATGCCGAAAAACTTGTATTTTTTAATACACTGTAAATTTTAAACAAAATTTATTTGCAGTCATACTATTTTCAATAAAAAACCAATACCAATATTGCAATTAATTTGCAGTTGATTTTCATTCAAAAGGAATAATATTATGAACCAATTCAACCAGCATTAAAGTGACTTGTAATTTAAAAGTATGCAAATATATACAACTATAAAAAAGGAGGAAAAGTTTGCCCCGACTTTAACTGCATCTGGTGTTGAAAGTATTTTACAGCAGTTTTAAAGAATATCAAGAAAAGTTAAGACCAATGCTTTATATCCCGGTTTTGTGGCGGTAATAAACATACAGCTCTTGATTTTTATGAACGGTACAAATACTGTATAAGTTGACAATAGCATTATTTCCGAATAATAAAAAATATAAGGAAATGGATGGCAAAAATAAATATTCACCTCAAACGTTGACTTTTTTTAAACATTTTTTTAATAAATCAGCAAGAAACTTGGCTCAGATAACACTTTGTGGCATAAATATTTGTAATTATTAGTTCTCTAAATACATAAATAAATAAAAAATTTTGTAATAACTTAAATACATACATATAAAACGCACATCAGTTCTATTTACACTACCGAAACATATGTACACCTTTTTTGAAATTTTGAATTTACCTTAATTTAGAAACACATTTATTATACTTGCAATATACAATAACAACAACACACATATTATGTATCTACATATATTTAGACATAAAAAATATCATATAATAGGTACATAAGTAATTTTAGTAAGCTAAAAAAAAGTAACTATATATTATTCTGATATTAAAAATGTATATGTAGAAAAAAAGATTAACAATACATAAAAGTAAAAAAGTATTAGTTTAGTGCTAAGGGCTTGCACATGTATGTGTCCACTTCAAGAAACCGGAAAATTACAAGATTTCTATAATCAAATAATTACTCTTGCCTAAAGAGATTTACAACAAAATGTGTATGTGCAACAAATTTGCAAAAGAAGAAAGTGTAAAAGCATGTATGCAAACTTTTGTTGCTAATTTATGTATTTTACATACATGCATGCATATAAGTACATACATATAGTACAGTAGATACACCATAAAGCAAAATTAAATGCAGTTACATTCAAAAATCTCCATGCTAACATATATCTGTATGTACATTAGACTGCATCACCAAAAAAAGTTGCGGTTTTTCCGCCGGGACTACAAAATTTATTACATTGTAAGACGTCCGCGAAAATATTTCGGAAAAATATCAAGATTTAAGCGAACTGGACCGATTTGAAAATACCTCAAAAAATGAAGTTTTTTATGAATAAAAATAGTTTCATAAAGAACTTTTTAGAAAAAGTCCCCTCAGATGACAAATTAGATTAAGCTTAAAAAATCTGCATAAAAATATTTAAACATCTTTTCAACGGAATCGTATCTAAGAATAAGATTTTTGATGCTTTTTTTTTTACTTTTTTCAAAGATTGCTTTACGAAAAACTTGAATAACTGGGCCAAAAATGTTCTGATTTAGACTTATGGGATCTCAGTAGAAAGGTATTTTCACACCGTTTTTATTTCTGGCCAAAAGAAACGTCATTCGCGTCTCATCTTGTTTTTTCGAATACCAACACATCTCAATTCAACTTTGAATGACGTTCGTTCACCCTACCTTCCTCTTCCTTCCTTTGAATGAGTTTATTAGCAAAGAAATAAAAAGGGTGAGAAAATACCTTTCCAATGACACCTCTTAAGTCTAAATCGGAAGAGTTTAGGTTCAGTTATTCAAGTTTTTCCTATACCAATATTTGAAAAAAGTTAAAAAACAGCATCAAAATTCTCATCATTACGATTCCGTTCAAAATTTTTGTTTAGTTTTTTAAAATAGTTGTATGCAAATATTTTAAGCTTAAACCGTTTTGTCATTTGAGGGGATTTCTATTTTTATTCATAAAAAACTCCATTTTTTGAGGTATTTTCAAATCGGTCCAGCTTACTTAAATCTTAATATTTTTCCGAAATATTTTGGTGGACGTCTTAAAATATAATAGATATTATAATTCAAATGGAAAAATAGTACCGATTTTTTGTTTTTGTATGGGGAGTGATGCAGTCTAATGTACATACATATTCACCTTGCAAGTGTATTAAGCTACAAAAATATTTACATCAAATATACTTACATACATACATACATATGTATAACACTGAACAATTATCATAATCGTCCGAAAATGATTATAAGCGTGTTGGAGGCATGCCTTATCTTTAAATTATTAATTACATACATATGTATCAAACAAAAATACTTATTAAATGCAAAAATAACTAATTGCAAATATGCTTCTCCATATATATACATACATACTTATAATTTAGTATAAATAGCTCAATCTAATTTAGCCTAATTTGTTATCAGCAAATCCTCTCACGTACATACATATGTATGTTTATATATACATACATGATGTACATGTTCAATAACCTTAAATTACGTTGAAATATTAAAAAAAAACTGTTTTCCAAGAAATACTAAGTGGGTTCGTTAAAAACCTAAGAGTGTTCGCATTTTTATTTCTAATTGTTAAACCTATATAAATACATGTAAATTTATTCCATATTATTGTTTTATTTACATATGTGACGTACATACATATGTACATGTTTATGTAGAAGACAATTCATTGATTGGAAGCTAAAAAATTAACTTAATAAGAGGACATTAAATACATACTATACATACCTTGAGCAGACATTAAGGAAATGCGTTTTATTATTTAGTTATAAGGCATTGTTTATGGTAAGCTATGTATGCAGCTCGGGGAAACCAGAGGCTGTAAATAAAAGTTTTGTTTCGTTTATTTTTCGTTAAAATTTAGCATTGGATGTTAACCCTTAACTATTGATGTTGGTCAATGTGAGACAACACAAAATTTATTGTTAAGTAATAATTGCAAAACCGCCTATCTTACGACACTCAATTTTTACAGGCTTATTTTTTGAAGGCATTGCCTCTAGCTATAAACCTCGATGCCTGAAGTTCAGGGTTATCAAATGTCATTTTTGACACAACGGCGATTGGGTGGTTGTGCAACTGGTCGATGGGCGGTTTCGCCAAAACATCGACGATATATAGATCGTTTCACCAGAAACTGTTTTCAGTGAAATTACTACCCTTTTCAATTTACAAAAGTATAAAAGATTCGAACTTCTGTTTTTTACTTTACACAAATCTAATTTAAGTTTTATTAGCAGCATCTTCACACCATATGTTAAGAAAAAAGCACAAAATAGCCAACAATTTATTCATATCCTTAAAACGAGAAATACTGGTTAAAATAAAAATTCATCAACTTTACAAGAGTATATAATAAATTTGGCAACTTTCACAATAACTGGAAACTAAGGAGTGTTTTTAGTAAGGAATTCTTCTTGGCGTTTTCTGTCCATATCGTGTAAAATAAAAAAAAAAAAAAAAAATTAACAAATATTTACATATTCTTACACATATGATAATACAACTAAGAATTGATTAGTTGAGTTCTAGTACATATTATTAAATGCAAACATTTCTCACTTGATTTCCGCAAACTTACCGATCAAATCTTCACATTCCAAGCGTTGGAGTGAATCCGACTCAATGCGCAGAATAGCTACTTAGGGCCGGTTGTTCAATGTCTGGTTAACACAAATCGGAGGTAGAAGCTCCGGTTAAATAAAACGACTGCTTTATCGATCACATGTTATATGCATGATGTCGAAATCGACGATAATGATATTTGACTGGGAGCGACTGGGCGATTTGCCCTCATACAGCCAATTTACACGATGGCTTTTCACCCTGGATGGTAGGCATGCACGCACGGTTAGCGAAATTCAACTTTTTAAACAGCTGCCAACCCTCCCACATGTAGCAAAAAAAATGAAGTGTATTCAATACCTTTTTGGTATAATTCATTTAACTTAATAAATAATTTGAATTTGATTTTCGTACATATGGCAGCCCTTTGAAAAACTAAAACCAAATTGCATATTTACAGGTCAAGATCTTTCATTTCACACCTTATTTTTTTTAAATGCTATCGTTCGTTGCGTTATGACTTGGTGTTAAATATTTAACGCAAACATCTCCGAACTCGATTAAGAAGTTTCACTTCAAAAAAGTTCTTAATTAAAAAGTAAAACTACACGCAAAGATTTTAATTTGATCTCCAACTCGAAAGAACTGTACAAATTTAATGACTGTCATAAAAAATGCCTTCTCGTATAATATACATATGTAGGTATGTATTTAGTTAGATCGTTATGACTTTTCGAAAAGGTGGTAAGCCTGATCAAAAAAATGTTCAAACCAAAGCTATCATCAATCTCTTTCGATTGACATCCATATCTTTATATTTCATAAAACTTGTGTATAAGTTAACTAAACTCGACTTTTCAAACGGGTGGTA